GTAATGGGGGGGTAGGGGGTGATGGGGGTGGAGCTCAGGGGCTCCCCCATAAATTCGGGGATGTGGTGGGGCTCAGGAGGATCTTGGGAGCATCTTTATGCGTTTTGAGGGTGATAGGGGGCTGAGGGGGACTCGGAGTCGCCTCTGAGTATTGGGGGAGGAAAGGTGGGAGGTGGAGGGTGGGGCAAATATATGTGGGTATTCCTTCGAGGCTGGGGTCTGTATGGGGCTGGGGGTGGGCTCTGGCAGCCTAGGTGGCCGGGGTTGTTGAGGGCACCCTGCTGCCTTTTTGGGGTGGGTGATGTGGGGCCTTTGTGGCCTAGGGTGACTCAGGAGTCAGTTGAGGGGCTGGCGATTTTTGTTTGGCTGTGGTGGGGTGGGTTTTTTTGTTTTTGTTTTTTTCCAAACTTAAAGCACGGCCAGTGTGGCAGTGTGGGTGCTTTCCCCAAGAGGCTGTGGAGACTTTCCCAGCCCCGGAGGAGGCCCAAGTCGCTGGTTCCCACCCTGAGCGGCTGCTCTGCCTCCGCTGCTGAAGGCCAAGGTCACATCTTTCCTTCCCCTTCAAGGAGCTCCGGGGGTTCAGGAGGCCTGCTGGGCTGGGGCTCTGCACCTACTGCCTCCCAGCCTTGGTTTTGGCTAAAACTGCTGCGAATACCCCCTCCTCAGATGGTCTGCTGAGAGTCAGGGGAAGGTCGTGATTGTGAAGGAGTGGGTTAACCAGGAGAGTGTTTATTTGCTCTGAATCGGGATGTTTGCACTGAAAAACATTTATAAATATATATCGGTCAGTTTACAAATTATTTATATATAAATATATCTCGGTCAGTTTACATATCGGTCAGATACAAACTGTATCAGTTTGTATGGAAATACTCACCTTCCATACTAAGTTGCTCTGTCCATGAACAAGTGCTCTACATCTTAGCTGTCAGAGGAGTTCAGTGGGATAAGTAAATGAAAAATTCCATCTTTGTCCTGCAATGGCTTTTTTAGGCATTTGAGACCACACTGGTGTTTTGGATGTTGTGCCCCAGCAATCATTAAACAACAGGTGGTTGCCATGAAGCCCTCAATTTACAAATTATAGGTACCTGATGTTTAATCATCTGATGTCATTGAATTTATGTTTATTCTCAAATACAGAATGACAGACTGCTGCTTGTGCTTGGATAAACATTCTAAAACTAGGAGTAGTTTCATTTTTGTCAACATGGATTGGCTGTAGTGGGAAGACTTGCAGCCTTTCACAGTAGTTGCATGCCTTGGACAGTGATCTCTTTAAACAAAAAGATGTCTTTAATAAAGCCTCTCTTCCCTTCTGACTCGATTACATCTACTAGCTAATGAACTTGAGAAATAGAATTTAGATAAAATCTTGACTGCGGATATTTTAAATAAATGCTGAATTGCTTTTTATGATTTAAACCTAAAAAGGAGTTTGATTTTATTTTTTTAGACGTATTGTCTAAAGTGCTGGACAAATGTGGTGTATATATACAGTGTCAATTTATTGGGCATTTTAATGATCTGAGTCTGCTTTAGCAATGGTTGATTTTATTTTTTTAGACGTATTGTCTAAAGTGCTGGACAAATGTGGTGTATATATACAGTGTCAATTTATTGGGCATTTTAATGATCTGAGTCTGCTTTAGCACAAATAGCTCAATTACAAACCTGAGGAAGTCTCCAAACAAACCTCCCCTGCTTATGGGGCTTGTTTTAGAAGGTGTTGCCAACTTTTTCATGTCTCAGGCTTCGTTTCTGAAGTAATTACAGTAAACAACTACAGTCTAAAGATTCACTTCATCTGTTGTCTCAATTTTAGTCTGGAATTAAGGAAAGCAATGAAGTTCACTTCAAGTTCTACAAGTTGTTAATGTAAAAATACTTTATGTATAGAATAACTTGGGCTAAAGTATGAATATGATAAAGAACGAAGGAAGAAATAGCTAATGCAGGCATGCTTTGCTTACCATTGCTTCTGTAGCCATTGCTTGCATTCCATTGCTGATTAAAAGCATTGTTGTCAGGGTCGCAGGCAAAGCAGCTGAGTTCACTAGAGTATGAAGTGTGTGCAGAGGCTTAAATACAGAAGTTTAGATATGTAAGGGAAATTAGATTGAAACTATGACTTAAAATTTTCAGTGTGAGTGTTCCTGTTACCTCTTTATGACAATGAAGACACAAAATAAATTCCTTTGATTTTCTGGATTAATCTTGACTGCATGATGGAGGATGGAGAAATAAACCCCATTAGCTGTTTGGTCAAATCAAGCATTTCAGACCATTTGTAATGGTTACCTATTGCATTAAGCCAACATTTTCACTTGATGATACTGAATATCTTGCATAGGTGGTGCAAGAGAACACATCAGTTTTTACTAAAGAAATTGCTTTGTTAGTGGTTTGACAGATAACTGTGCTTCTCAGGGGTCATCCTTCATGGACAGTGGTTATGCCTAGATCTTGCATAACATGCCTTCTCTGCTCTGGTACTTTCTTGGGTTTTGTCTGTTTCTTGTTTAAAGAAACAGCAGTAGCCTCACTGACTATTAACCTTAAACCTTTAAGAACAGTGGAGGCTCCAATGGGAATAAATGGTAGACAGAGTTCAAGTACCTGCAATGTGCTGGATTGCCTGCAATATTTAAAATGTGTTCTTTCTCTGACTTGCTTTCATCCTTAATTGTAGATGTGATATAAGCTTTAGTTTCAAGTCCTTCATACTTGAAATACTAGCAAGATTAGATCAGCGTATATGGTCTACTAAAGCTTGTGCATGTCCAGTGTAAGAACAATATTTAAGAAATACCTTTTTAATTACAATTTTTTTCAGATTTGCATACCATTAATGTCTATGCTGCCAAGGAGCCTTAACTACTACGTGTCTTAGAAAAGCAGCATGTGTTCAGATGATGCAGGAAAAAGCTAAATAACTTTATCCAGGATTCTGATCGTAAACACACCCGAACTAACCAAATTTGGGTTTGCTGATGTATGATGTAGTAATGAGACCATGTGAATAAAATAAAGAAATGATTGTCATCAGTCCCTTGCAAAAGCTGTAATTTTGCTTAGCTAGATTCTCTATTACAAGAGGCATGACTATACTGGCTTTAAGGGGTTGGTAATGAAGAAGCTTGCAAATAACAGAGCTCCCTTTAAAGGACAGGCTAGTGAGTAGAAATTAGTAAGGTTATAATGTTAACTGTGGAAAGCGTAGTATCAACAACTAACTTCCTAGACCCCTAACAAAAGCCGAGGGCCTGTGCAGTGCTGCATTTAGATGCTTTCAGAGTCTTCTAACTTCTCCTATGAAGATTTGCAGTACTTCTAAAATTTCTTTTGAAGCTGCTAATCTTTGCCAGCCAGTGCCAGGCTTCCAACTTCTTCCATTATCTGAAAGTGCATCTGGCTGACCACACCCTCTCATTCATGCTGCGATGTTGTATGTGTTGATATCCTAGAATGAGTCTGCAGATTTTAAGTGCAGAAAATGGAGAAAATGAAGGAAACATCAGTGATGATCTAACAGCGGAAGACTCTGCCTTTTTCTTCGCGCCACCGGAACCCACAGGGAGACCTTCCATTCTACGCCTGTCCCAGAAAGAAAACTTGCCACCAAAAAGCGTGGCAAAAGCTATGAAGGTAAACTTTTGCTTTTCTATTGTTTATATTTTTTGCCTTCTACGATCTCTGCTAATAAATGTTTATGCTATTTGGAGCTTGAAAATATTGTGGTGTTAATGTTCTTCCTTTTTCTTTTCCTTCCCCACGCCTTTCTTAAAGGTAACCTTTCAGACTCCTCTGAGAGATCCTCAGACTCGAAAAATCTTAAGTCCTACTATGACAGACAAACTTGAGACTACTTTCACACTGGATGACTGCAGTGAAGCCTTGGCGGGTGATCTTTTATCTACGCTTGACAATGTTGAGTAAGTAATGTATTCACTGCTAGTAATATTAGCAATGTGGAATGTGCTCTAGTTAATTTTTCCCCATTATAAACCTGTATAGTTAAAGTGTAATTTTGTATTATATAACAACATATAACCTGTACTAAAGGACCAAAATTAATGCTGACATCGATGCACAAACTTTTTTCAAAGATAAAGCTTTCTTAAAAGTAGTGACAACTATCTTGGTTGTAATGTTGAATACTGAATTCAACTCCTCGGTAACTGATTTCATGGAAATGACTTATGATATAGATGAATAGTTTAAGACAAGAGACACATTAGGCAGAGAATACAAAACTGTTTCCTACAGTAAAGTTTTCATGTGAGGCTACAATTATTCTGAAGCTAATCCTTAAAGCTAAGCCTTTAAAATTTCTTCTCCTGTATGTTAAGTGCAGTTTTATCTCTTTAGATTTTCTCCTTAAGATACATCTTCTGAAGGGTTAGCTTGAATTGTCAGTGAGTCATGAGCATTGAGATTAAAGAAAATGTAGTAACACAAAGTGAATACAACATCAATTCCAAGTACAAACAAGTTTGTGTGCCTTTATAGTCTGGAAACCTGGTTCCTGAAGTGGCTCGTGGTAGCTGTCTAGAGAAGAGCAGAAAGTCTGAAGTGTTCCAATTTGGAGTACTAAAACTCTCCTTTACTAGAAATATTGTTTCAGTAGTTTAATAAAACAGTGTTAGACAATGTTATTTTATAGGCCTCAACGCGTGTATTTTGTTACTGACTTTTTAAGCTCCTTTTTAAACTTCTATAAACTTCTTGCCACTGAGAATTATAGATGTCAGGTGTCTTGCGTCTTAGCTTTGCCTTCTGCAAGGAAATGCATCCTTTTGCTTGTTTTAAACTACCCAGTACTTTTTTTGACCAATTTTCTTGTTTTTGGGAAGGGGAGAAGGGAGAAAGATGGGAATAAAATGTTCTTAAAATGTATGGATTTGCTTCAACTGTTAACTTGCACATATACTCCAGTTTAGAAAAGTACTCTGAGCCAGCCACCACAATTTTTAAATTATGTAATTGCACTTATGCCCCAAACTTATTTTAGTATGTGCAAAGTTCAAGTGAGTTAAACTGATTTGGTGATAGCCCCTTTTAGTTAGGGGAATCATTATGTGTCAAAACATTGTTTTTACCGTACACATCCTTTCTGCTTTTAAAACGTAAGGCTCTGTTTGTAGCAAATAAGCTGAAGGACTGGGTGTTGCTGAAGGGTGTAGTTTTCGAGTAGTTCAAGTTTGGAGCAGGTGCCTGTCTCTCGGCTGGCATTTATGAGGTTAAAGGGGGGGAGCGAGGGAGGGGCCTGAGCGGCCGGGGCGGCCGGGGCTGAGGGACCGACCGCGGGGAAGAGGCGCTGGGGCCGGGCGAGAAGGACTGACCCTGCTCCCATCCACCGCGCTGGATTTCGGGTTCGTCAAACTCCTGTTCTCAGCCCAGCGGCTTTTAATCGCCTTCTGTTCTACAGCAGATAAGGATGGCACACAGAAATAACAACTTTACGAAGGGACAAAACAATGGGAGGAAATCCTGTTTCAGGAAGTAATGGTTTAACTCTCTGTAGTCTGCAGCTAAGCCTCCACAGTTGAGTAGAGTTTGGGGAAATAAAGTAGAGAGCAACAACTTGTAGAATGGTTAGCAGTAATGAGTACACAGACTTTCTCTTTAACCTGTTTCTTGTGCTAGAGAATCTTACTTTCTCTTACTGGGGATGTATTTTCTTGTGTAACACTTTGCTCTTCAGATCTACTGTTGTACAGAGTTCAGAGTGCCTGGAGTCTGGGTTCTGGCTTGGTATGTAGGCCCTTATAGATGAAATGCTGGTGCATACTTTGAAGGGAAAAGTATTTGCCAGAAGGACCAAAGTAATGACTAGAATGGGAGAACCTGAATCATGAGTGAGTTTTGGATCCAAGACCTATGAGCCTGTCATGACTCATGGGTGAATCTACATGAAGATGTACTACAAATTGTGCCTGTGTCTGAGCTGCTTACTGTTAACAACTGCTTCTAAACAATGTATATTTCACTGTTTAGTGAAATGGAAATGTCCACATGATGTAGTGAGTCGAGCAGTCTCCGGTGATGACTGGCAGTCTCCAGTGATGACTGGCATAAGGTTAAATAGCTGTGTAGAACAGGGAGCTTAAGAATCCTGGCTAGCTTCAAGGATTAAACTTCCTATAGCTCGTGTGTACCAGAGCTCATAACTTTTGTTTAGATGGCAACTGAATTCTTGCTGTTACAGTACTCTTTTCCTGCAGCTGCTTTATGTCTAAAAAATCATATTACTCTGAGCATGTAAAGCTACTTGTGCAAGTATCTTTCTAGACGAGGTTTCAAGTGATATCTAAAAAAAATAGCTATGGCATATGTGATCTCTTTTTTTTTTTTTAAATGCAGCACATGTCAACAGAAGACTGAAGCTGAAGCAAACAATACAGTGGTAAATACCCTAATGCCAGAGAAAGTCAGTGCGGCTCCTTACCCAGATGATGAGATGCCAGTGAAGAGTCGAGGTTCCTACAATCTTGATTTTGATAACTTAAATGGCATCAATCCCTTCCAGAGTTCAGCACAGTTGCAACATTCTCCTGGAAATCTGCAAAAGTCTCCTGTAATAGTATCTAGCAGCCCTGGGAAAACCTCTGAAAAAAGTAATGATTCTCACCTGCTGGATGATACACTTCCTTTTGCTTCAACCACAGCAAGTACAGAGCAATCAAGTGAAGAGGAGAAGACTGTATTATCTGGAAAAGGATCTGCATTGAGAGAGCTGGAGCCTACCAAATCCAAGCTGTCCCCTAAGCAAACAATCAGTGACCCTGTGCAGGATATGAAGTCTGGTTCCACAGGTGTAAGCCAAATTGATGATACAGTAAGATTAGCAGAAGCGCCTACCCCTACTGTACAGTTATCTGGCAATTTAGCTCCCAGTAGTTCTGATGTAACTAATTCTTCTAAAACTGAGGAATTGAAGCTTCAGAATGTTTCGGTAGCAGAAAAGGCCTCTGCAGAAGGGTCAAAGCCTGCAGAAGACCGGGCTGTCTCCAAAGGGGAACTTGCGGAAAAGCCTGATGTCACCAAGGCTGCACCAGTAAAACTGGAATTTGACTTTGATAATGCCACTGCTAGAAAACCACCTCCTAAGAAGCTAGGTAAAAGACCTGGAATTAAACCACCTTCCAAAAAAATTCCTATTACTAAAACAAAACCAGAGAATACTGAAGTGCAAAATAAAAATAATGTGGAAGATGAAATTCCTATTCCCAAAGCATCTTATAACGTTGACTGGGACAAACTTGATGATCCAAACTTTAACCCATTTGGAGGAGGCTCTAAGATTTCCAGCTCATTCAAGTGTTCTAAACCTAGCCTTCAGAACGCTGAACTGCAAGAGGAGCAGGATAGCACATCATCAAGAAGTGAGCCTCTTCCAGTGGAGCAGGATAACAGACCAAGTACCTGTGAAACTCTTGAGAAAAGAGAACCCAAAAGTCTGTAAGTAAATCTGTAACTGAATGTAGAAGCACCTTGAACTCATGCGAGGAAAAGATAGATGGTGTGTCTAACTAGTTGTTTCCTACCTCCTTGACTTTTTCCCTCTGAGGTTGGCTGGGTCTGCACGCTGTAACCTTCAATACAGTACGTAGCAACAGCAAAGATCTTGGCTAGCTCTGGGCAAAAGGTGCTCTTAAATCTGGAGGAATGGAAGAGAATAGGCTTACATAGGAAGAGAATTAGTAACTTGGTCAAGTGTCTCTTTCCCCACTCCTTCAAGATTAAAGTGTGGAGAATTAAGTGGCTTCTGCTGATTTTCAGAAAACATAAGTAGGCAGCAGCCTTGCACATCATGCAGCATGGGAAGGGACTGGGCGGTTATGTTCTGTGCTTAGTGTCCTGCCTAAACTGAGGTGCTCTTTCTTCCTTGCGTGTTCTTGATATCTGAAAGCTATTTCCAGTAAAAATGCTTGTCACTAAAGTTGCAATTTTTGGCACCACAAAACTTTTTATTTGAGAATGGGAGATGCTGCATTGTCTTTCCTAAAAACTCTAGCTAAAATAATCGGTATCACTATAGACAGCCAGGGGCTTACCAGAACTATCCTGGCATGAGATGTTCATTTGACAGAAATGTTTGCTCTCTTCCTCCCTGTGTAACGTCTGCTACTGTTTATCAAGTTGAAAGTTAAGTTTGTGTTGTCAGCAGGAACTGCAGTATCGGACTTCTCTAACACAGTTCTGTGCTTTATACCAATAATCACTAAATTACTTTGGGAAGAATCATAGAATATTTAGAGTCGGAAGGAACCTTAAAAATCATGGAGTTCCAACCCCCCTACCGTGTCTGTTAATAATTAAACAAAAAGTCTATCTTTAATTAAAAAAAAAAAATGGGCTTAACAAATGAAAATTGGAGACAAGTGTTAAGTGAATAAGAATAAGTGATACTGCAGTGACTTTCTGCTTCCCAGATAGCACTGCTTCTGATGGAGAGAGCTTTGTGTCACTTATGTTGTTCTGATTATTAATATTAATAATTTTTTTAATATTATTAATAAAGATTCCTGTCCTGAGGCAGTAAAAACTCAAATACCTTAAAAATCATGGAGTTCCAACCCCCCTACCGTGTCTGTTAATAATTAAACAAAAAGTCTATCTTTAATTAAAAAAAAAAAATGGGCTTAACAAATGAAAATTGGAGACAAGTGTTAAGTGAATAAGAATAAGTGATACTGCAGTGACTTTCTGCTTCCCAGATAGCACTGCTTCTGATGGAGAGAGCTTTGTGTCACTTATGTTGTTCTGATTATTAATATTAATAATTTTTTTAATATTATTAATAAAGCCCCCTGTCCTGAGGCAGTAAAAACTCAAATAACCTTACTTTGTCCAATGTTTCAATGTATTTAGTAAATAGAATTCAGAACTGTCTGTGTGACTTGGATTTTGATATTTTTTTTTTGTCTTTTCTTTAGGGAAATCAGCAAACAGAGTGTAGTAGAAGACAAGCCAGGAGTTCAAGCAGAAGATGAACTTCCAGGACAGATGGCTATGGTAAGGTATAGGAAAGAGCTGTTTCTTACAAAGTTGTTCTATGAAAGAGTTCTCTGATTTAACCTTGTCAAACACGTGTTTGACAAGGTTATTTTGTCCAAGAACTAGTGTTTTGATGCATCTTCAGCAGGTCTAGAAATAATATCAACTGTGCAGACTTGTCTTTTGAAGGTAACATCAGAGACAACCAAATTGGTGCCTTGGTATTTAGTATCTTTTTTGATCAGCAGTCACATAGAAGGACAAACATAAGGGTGTGGACTCCAAAAAAAAAAAAGTGACTCCTGTATAATATGAGCTGTACTGAATGTTGGTAGTTCAGTTTCTATGCCTGTGGACTCTTGGTTTACTATCCTGGCTTCCCAGCTAGTTTACGATAAACCAATTAGATCATTATTGTGATTTTCATTGTATTTTAATCGATACTTTAACAGTAAAAAGGATTGTGTTTTTCTCATCAGGAGAAGCAGATGAGCCCATCTAAAATGTCTCCAGCTAATGTCCCCTCTCAAGATAATTTGGTTTCTGCTGACAGTGGAGAAAAGTCAATGTCTGCAAAAGAAATTAAAGCTAGTTCCCACAGAACTGAGATGACAGCAGATGAGCAGATGGCTAGCACTGAACCTGATGAGCTCTTCAGACCATCATCTGAAGGTAAGGGCATTTCTTTAGAACAGACCGAAAAGGTATTGTTGTAATAACCTCCGTGTAGGTGTTTCTCTACTTCAGTTTTGTCACTGGTTCTGATTTTTGTCTCTTGCTTTGCTCTTTTCAAAGATTTGTAAGACCTACAATGACGAGCAGGGGTGAGAAACGTACCGAAGCATGTTTCTAACTTTATCTGGATTAAGATAAATTCAAAAAGCTGGCTACTAGTGTTCAGCTGCCTGGAAGGATGAAATTTAGGCTGGTACAGAAACAATTAAAGTTTGTGGCAGCTTTCTGTGCTGGAAAAAAATGCTACCTTCTGGTATTAAGCACTTTCTAAATTGAGAGCACTAGAGCTGCACAACTGCCTGTATTTGAGTCTTGCAGATCACTGCAGGCTTTAGCACTACTCAAATACTGATTTCATATTGCAGTGTGGATGGTCTTTCTGCACTTGCACACCTGTTGTGAAAGCTTACTTTATATAGTAAACTTACACAGCAGTGCAGTCTTACCTCTTTAATGCTTGAGTGGAATTGGAGTATTGAGAAGTGGTTATAACTTCATTGTTCAAAGCTGACCTGTGTGCTGATTTTAGTGGTGAGATAGCCAATCTTATTTTTATGGGGCATTGTAAAAAAGACTAGAATAACTGAGTGTGCTTGCCAGTTTAACCACAGAACAGCAGAAGTTCTTCAACTGTGTGTTGAATTCTACATGGTCTTACAGGTATTTGGGGACAAATGGAACCTACAGATCTGTTTAGCTTAAAAACCTTTGCCCGATTTTTTTTTTTTAATTTTTTTTTGGTCCAGATAAAAATACATTATTTTTACTAAATGAAAAACTAGAGCTCATGATATTAGAGTAGGTGTTTATTTGCTTATACATATACCTATTTGTTTCTGTCTGTGGGTGCTTCACTGTAAGACAGTATGAGAATATTGTGTCTTGATTGTATAATTTCTTTCTTTTCTAGTTCTAGGAATGGGCATAGAAATAGACTACCTGGAACAGTTTGGGACTTCATCAGTAAGTATGATACCAAAATGTTTTGTTTACCTCCCTGGCAGAGGGGAGAGGAAAGGAAAACAAAACTTTCAAGCCTTACATGTTTTGCTGAAATACTTTGAACTTGCCCACAGAAATAGAGATTCTATTCGAAAGGAATGTGTTGACAGGGCTGGATGGGGTGGTGGTGGAAGGAATAGTTATAAGCAGTTCTGCTAAGGTGCTGTTTTTCTTTAATAGTGGCTGAAGCTGAGATGGATGATGTTTCAGCTCTGCTTGGCAAAACTGCAAGAACATAATGCTTTAAAGCTCAGGATCATTGTTTTGAAACTTCTTTTTTTTTCTAAACTCTTTTGTTTTATGGGCAGTTTCAGGAAATCTATCTCTAAACTGGGCATGTCATATTTCAGTCAGTTTGGAGTAGTTATTTTTTCTCCTGCTTTGGTCCGGAGCAGGAGTGGCTCTGAATATACTGTGAATACACCCAACTGAAATTGGTTTTTGATCATGCTGTGTTTGTCCTTATTGTTGTTTTAGCAAAGGCAGAGAAAGACGTGCACTGCTCATTCAGCTTACAATACTATCTTTTCCTTTTAGTGTCTCCTGTTGGTTTTGAATAGTTCATAAATGTTTGCCCTTTTCATTCTGTCTGTGAGCAGATTGAGTTCACTTGATACTACATAAGGATTTAAGCGTGTGGGCACTGAATTCTCTTACACAATTTTTCTCCTGAGAACAATGCTCTGGCCACTGAAGAATAGGCTCACCCTCTCTCCAGAGGATTATTTCTGTGCCTGTGTGGGATGTGTGTGTTATGCTCTAAAGCAGCATATCTGCCAGTTTATGCCTCTTTCCCCTCAGTTCAAAGAGTCTGCCTTGAGAAAACAGTCGCTGTATTTGAAGTTTGACCCTCTGTTGAGAGACAGTCCAAGAAAACCCATTTCTGGTACTATTGAAACAAACACAAGTATCATGGCAGTGCCACTTCAGTCTGGGTAGGTATTGACTCGGTCTAGACTGTAGTACGTAGCTTTACAAAGAAAGGCAGTGCTTGAATATAATGCTGTATGTTTGTTTTTTAGTCCTGTTGCTGATTTAAGTAAATTGCTTGAAGAAGCTGAAAAGCCTGCAGTGAGCCTTCCATATGAAGAAAAACCAAAAGGACTAGATCTTCTGGGAACACTTACAAGTCCTGTAAGTGTGTCTGGAATGGTATGCAGTTTCACATTGATATTTTGGGAAAGGGATTGGCTAAGTTCTAGACTTAAGACTTATGTAGATATTCTAAGGATTGCAGAATACTTCAGGCTTTTTTAAACTGCTATCTTCAAAGCCAGGTTGGATGCTCCCTTATCTTATCAGAGTTGAACTTTTTGAAGACCATATATTTTTTTTAAGTATTAAAAAACTTTTTTCTGGTGGAAACTGGTGGTATTGCACATGATCTAGGAGAATTGGAGCTGGTTTTAAGAATGCTTTAGTCAAGCAATCTTTTTCATGGAGCTGAAGCCACAAAAATAAGACAAGCTTGTATTTTAATTGCACTGCTGGGATGAAAAGCTCTTCTTTTGTTAATATTTGATGCTGTACAGTTTAAAGCTTATAGTTTGAACAGATCTGCACACAGCAGTTCATCCTGAAATTATCCCTTTTTTTACTGACGGGGGACAGTGTGGTGTCATGTGCTTTGTTTGATAGCTATAATTGGTAGGTAACAATTTCTGTTATACTTTAAAGATAACTACATGGTTTTAAGAGATCTAGACACTAAAATAGTTATGGAGGTATTTTGGGTATTTAAGTAAAATATGTTGACTTACCATCAAATAATCTGTATACAGTTGATCAACGGCATGAAAACAGGGATTTGTTGAAACTCTACCTTTTTTTTTTCTTCCTCACAGGAAACGGATCCCCTAACTGCAGATTCCCTGATTAGTGATGTTTCTTCACTCCCTCTTGCTGCTTCCACAAACACTGCAGTGGATGCTATTATAGATGTGCTAAAATATAGCCAAAAAGACATGGATGCAGCTGTTGAGCAGGTTAAAAAAGAGGTACGGTGATGCTCCCAAAGCAGAACTTTGCATAGCCTTGGAAGTACCTTGTGTCTAGTTTAGCTGGTTACAAATCTCTATCCTGGGCAATTCTTTACATCTTATTTGACATAAGTGTCTCGTTCTGGAAAGCTTGCTGTGCATTTAATAGGAGCAGTAGGTACAGAACTCTTCAGAGCTAATGTCTAAGGAAATAGGGTAAACTTCACTATTCACACTTCACTATTCACTATAATGTCTAAGGAAATAGGGTAAACTTCACTACTCACACTTCACTATTGCCTATAGTCAGTCAGGTTCTGCCTTAGAACTGGTCAGTATTAAAAACCATTCATTATCAGATGGAATGATTAGGCTTTCAGTGATCTCAATATCCTTTATTAACTAGGCAGGAAATACCTGTTCCTGCCAACGGGTAGGATCGATTTCTTCTGATATGATTATTTCCTTAAAACATGATAAAACCATAATGCCAATTTGGTGCAGCCCTTTATTAACTAGGCAGGAAATACCTGTTCTTGCCAACGGGTGGGATCGGTTTCTTCTGATATGATAAAACCATAATGCCAATTCGGTGCAGGGATTAATCTTCTGTGTGCAGTTGGGAGGCACAATAGTAAATCCATCTTCTCAAATAAGTGAGGTCTGGAGCTCACTGGAAGAGAAGAACATTAGTGGGGGATGATAGTAGTAGTGAGTGGGATTTCAGGCATGTTCTGTAACTATATCAAGCATATTCCATAACAGAAATTGCTTTTGAACTCCCATCTTCTTACTGATGCAAGGCGAGTTATGTATCCACTCACTTTAAAAAAAAAAAGAGTATTTGATTCATTATGGCTTCTGGGTTATGTAACTTTACATATACTAAGTAAGGTAAGAGGAGTACTTTAACATAAATATCCTTAAAGCTACTCATGTCACTTCAAAACTAACTTCAGAAAAAAAAAGCATTCAAAATTCCTGACTAACTATGTACTGTGGGCAATGACATGAAGGACACCAAAGATGACCTGTGTTTATCTGCTACTTATTCTTTGCCTTTAGAGTACAAAGACACTAGGTTTTCTAGGAGTAACTTTTCCTTTCTGTCATTCAGGAAGATGCTTTTACCCAGTATGTTGTTTATTACAGGAAAATAAGTGCAGCTTCGATGGGGACAGCTCTTAGTCCATTGATCTAAAATAAAGAATTAACGTAATAGTAGCTTGTAATAACTTAAAATTGGTGCTCTGATCTCTCATTTCAAAGAATTATTCTATACATGCAAACATAGTTGTACCAAGACAGGTGTGACTGCGTGACTCCAGCTGTGTGTCACAGAGTAATTCCAAGCATTTTTATTTATTTATTAACTTGAAAGGAAGACACACTAAATTTTAATATTACTTTTTTTGGTGAAACAGCTCAAGGTGGAGGCAGGGGGGTGGAATAAATATCTATTTTCTTTCTGGGCAAATCCTGCACTTCATGGAAGCATGCTTTTTTGGGTCTATGAACCATTTCTGTTGAGTTTGCAAATGAAAACTCCTAACTGGTTTCCATCTTTACATGTTTTTGTTCTTGTAACACTTGTTTTAGTCTTACTACTATTAACTCTTTCTCTTCATATTTTGGTACATTCTTTTTTTTCATTTGTGCCCAACTTTGTCATCTGAAATACTACAATACATCTAAAATAAGTTAATTCTAAAATAAATATGAAAATCAGTGTACTACACTGTATTGGTGCAACTTTGGGGGGAAATCAGCAGTAATCATGTGCTCTCACGTTCTCTTGTTTAAAATTCCAGGTTGTTTTATGTATTTTGGACCTCTGTTGTCATTGAATGCATCCCACACTGTAGTCAACTATCAATGTTGTAGTTCTTGGCAGAAATCCCAGTAAAAAATTAAGTTTATATAGTTTGCACAAAGCAGTTAGGGGAGAGCACTTATACTGCTTTATACTGTTACTGTGAGTTCTGTTTTAATTCAGCTGATGTGAAATAGGTATGGTTATTCTTTAAAGAACTCAATTTTAAATTTGGAAACTTGGTAGGGGGAGGTTTAAGTATTGAATATAAATTATTCCAAAGAGCAATTGAATCTTTACTGGTATGGACTTTTGATATTTCATCTTTCCTATATTAAGACTGGGAGATTTTAGTTGCTTTTCTTGTCTGCCTTGTAAATAAAAGGGAAATATACATCACTTGAGAGAACACTAATTCTTGAGAGAATGTAACTGTCCAAGGAATAATGATCTACATATACAATGAGTAAGAGAAGCCATGAGGCTGGCTGAATTGCCTCTGATCTTGGCATTTGAAGAGATACCGGTAACATTGAGTGGGAATTGTGTATGTGAAATCTGCATATCAATCTACATCTTACTTTACTCACATTTGTAATGTAACAACTTTGATTCTGTTAAGTAAACTTTTATTTTTCTCCATATCAAATTATAAGTCTACCTTAGCTGCCCTTCAGGCTGTTCTGAGTATCAAACCTTGTGTCTCTTCCTGTTCAAGAAATAAAGGTTTATGTTTTCTCTCAAAGGTTGAGGAGAAACAGTTGGAGACTCAGGAATGGAAAAAGAAGTATGATAAGCTTCATATGGAATACAAGGAAATGGGGTATGAATCTGTCCTGATTTTTTTTGTATCTACTTATTTACTCCAGCTTTGTTTTGTAACTTATGTTCAATGCTTTTTTCATATTTTTTTTAGAAAAATAGTTGCTGAGTTTGAAAGTACAATAACACAAATGATGGGTAAGTTCCATATTTACACTTTGGTTTGGGTGGGGGGGGGTGAGGCATGCTTAGCCTAAGGTTGCTAACTGAAGTTAGTACTCTTGCACCTCTGCTGGCACTAATATTTCAAGTGCTTCCAGGGTGAGTGTAAGGTTTCAGACAAGGTAGAGCAGCACTTTTATGCATATTCATACAGATGTGATATCACTTGGTAGGTAATTATGACTTCCTCAATCAGGCATGAACGCATCTAACTTTTTCTTATTCTTCAGTGGAGTGTGAACTGTTGGTTTATTAAAACTGGCTGATTCGGTTGTCTGCACCTTATGTTTAACTGTTTGTCTGACCTCATTTAAATGAGATGTCAGGAGTTCTTGCTGAACAGATCTGGCCTTTGCTTCAGTCAAATTTGTGGCTTCAAGGCTAGGAAGATGTCAAATGAAACTTGTTTGTATAGGTACATTCTCTTAGGTCAAAGCTGAAAAGCCAAATCTATGCCTTACTTAAATGTAGTTCTTTAAGGAGACTGAATATTATGTCAGCTTTTTTTGTGCTTCTGTAAGCTTATGGGAAACATAGCTCAGATGTACAAACAAAAACTTGTCCTGAAAGAATTTGCTATGCTGGTTTGGCTTATCTCAGTCTCCTCCAGATCTTCAGCTATTGTATATATTTAATGAAAACAAATATTTTTTGATTCCTTGCTTCTATCACAACATTTGAGGCTCCTGTTAGGTAAACTCAGGGGTAGTATTTTGACTACATTGTGGAAGAAACAGTACTTTAGGCAAGGACTTTATAATCAGTGTTTCATGGCCTTGGCATCGGTGTGAGGTAGTTCATGGAAAACAAAAATATGAATGCTTCCTTAGAAGCAAAGCTATGGAGTCCTTTTAGAGGAGAGGCTATGTTATGAAACTTTTTTCTCCTTGAGGGGAAGAACTGAAGCTGTGGAGATATCTGTCCATGCTATGGAACTGGTTTTATGCTAACACCGTAACTATCATGACTGTAACCCTATTAACTCCACTTTCTTTAGAGGATGCTCAGAAGCAGAAGGAACTTTCAATGAAAGAAATGCAGAGAATCATGGAAGAGAAGCAACAAGTTATTTCGGATTTGAACTCTACAGAGAAGTCTTTCTCTGAACTCTTCAAACGATTTGAAAAACAGAAAGAAGTGATAGAAGGTTACCAAAAAGTAAGATGCCATAATGTGAATAATATCCTTGCAAGATAAGTGAGACTTAGTGGAGAGCAAATTATGATTTTTCTAGAGCCGCCATTAATTAGTATTGGCATTACCTGTAAAACCAGATGCTAAGTTGCTGTTTGTTTAAAGATTTTTAAAAAAATCACTTGTTTGTTGTATTTAATGGCTGGTTTAAAGTATGATAATTATCTCTGTTAGAAGCCAAAGTTTCTTCAAACAGAAGAATGAGCTGTCTTTTGCTGCATGCATATAATTTTTCTGTTAATTGTAGAGACAGTCTCATGTAGCAACTGCTGTGTAAGGGCAGCTTGTTTCCCCTTCATGTTGAATGGATGCTGAAGAGGATTTGCTATTATAAGTCAGAATCGTAATAGTTTATTGGGCATTATTTAGCTTAAAAACCCCACAACCCAGCTTGGTAAAGCCAGGTCTTTGTTTGCAGCGTTTTCAGAGACTGGAGGAATGAAGCTATGAGGATCATGAGCTGTGGTTTCTTAATGCATGAAATGCATAAAAACTGATCCATTGTTTAAAAAAAAAAGTGTCTTCAGTTTTTTGCCTTCAGTTATGCTTTAATGTCTATTACTTAATCAAGCTTAGAACTATCCTGTTAGAAGTGTCATGGTAGACTAGGTTTGAGAAACAGGTATAATGTCTGTTACACCTTAAATTTCTGCTTTACTAATGTGTCAGGTTTCCTTCATCTTGTGTCCTTTCCATCTCTACGCCCTGAATTCAGAAGCCCTTTCTTCAGCGCAGAGTTAAAACATCACTTGGAAACAGTTCTTAAATTCAAGATGTGGAATTAGTACGGGGCCTAACTTACTATAATAGCTAATAAAATAAGGTGTCATAGTGTCTGTGCCTGCCAAGGTCAATTTCTTGCCGTTAATGTTGGATTCATTTATGTCAGAGTCCAAAGCCTGAATCTTTACTTGAATTCTCTGTAGCAGTTAGATTTCTAGCTATTCTTAGGACAATTGCAAGCTAAGACAAAGCTGATTTTAAAAAAAACAACAAAAAAACTCCTGCCCCCCTGCCAAAACTGTTAAGTGACCTTAGATTCAGTGACCTTTCCCCTTTAGTAAAGTTTATTGTTAAATAAACAGTGTATTGGGAGGGAAATGGGGTGAATAAATCTTGATTTGCAAAGTTAAGAGTTGAAAGGGGAGCTGTAGTCCCTGTGTAGGTCTGTGGGACTTCAGTTGTTCCTGTTAGTCTGGTGAGAAAATACTGTCACTGTGGTGTAGTCACATAGCTTTTTATGGGCTACTAGATGGAAGAGTCTCTCCACAAATGGGCTAAGCAAGCTGCTTGTTTTTGGGACAGAATGAAGAAGCTCTGAAAAAATGTGCTGAAGAATACCTGGCTAGAATTAAAAAAGAGGAGCAGAGATATCAGGCATTAAAGGCACATGCTGAAGAAAAGCTGCAACAGTAAGTACCATCTCAAGAAGCCAAGTACTGGGAGTGAAATAGTTTTCACAGTTGCTGCAAAATGTGGTTCATTAATGCCAAAACTTGGCTTAAAACATTTTTAGCTTGGGGATTAATCCAAAGTACAGTCATCAAACGTGATGCCTATGAACAGTTTTACTGTGCTGTCTGAAAGGGGTGTAAACACCATCTGCTTCCATTTCAGAGCAAATGCGGAAATTTCTCAGGTACGAAGCAAATCTAAATCAGAGATTGCAGCATTACAAGCCAGTCTCCGCAAAGAACAAATGAGGATCCAGTCTTTAGAGAGGACCCTTGAACAAAAGGTAAGTCAAAATGCTGTGGGTGAGTCCCTTCGAGCTATTGCCTTAGACTAGGTCAAGAACTACCTTGTACCAGAGCTAGAAATAGCCATGCTGACTGTGCTGGTTTTGGTGGCTACTGTCCTGGCAGGCTTTGGGAAATAGGCATTGGAACTTAAGGTACAACTCTATTATGTCAATACTTAGCTGTATGTTTAGATTGCTTGGAGCAAAAGGTTTGTTCCCATAGGTGGGTCATGGAGGTGATTAGGAAGGAGGTGTCAGGAAGTTAAACTACTGAAGGAGATGGTGATGTAAAACTTTTACATGTCACAGAGCAGAATCTAGGAAAGAATCTTAACTGTCTGGTTCAGCTCGTTCCTAAACATGATTTGTAAGCTGTTAGCCCTCGTACAGACTCTTTTTTACTGACTGAACTCTTTCAATATTGTTCAGACTGTTGATCCTTGTATTTTATATTGTTTCAAACTGCATAAAGTCTTAGAATGTGTTGTAAAGGCCCATAAGTTTCCTGTGTTAGAACCCTTCAAAGGAAGAACCTTTTGAAAGTGAGAAGTCATACTGCTGGAAATGCATGCTGTTAGTTTTACTGCAATACAGTTGTGTCGTTGCCAGCATTGAAGACACAAAAATAGATAATGCTGACACATTCCTGTTGGGGAAAAGTCCTATATTTGTGTTAGTCTTCAGGCTTATGGCTAAGGTTTGCATAGCTGAGGAAACAGTAGGCCTGTACCTGGAGAGAGAAGCCATTTAACACAGAGCAAGTTTTGTTCCTGTTATAAATACAGTAGCACTTTGTTAAAAATTAAAGTAAGAGTTAACATACTGTTATTAAAACAGCTTGACTGTATAAGGTATTAAACTGGGAATTATTGCCACATGTCAGTAAAATTATCAAAGCATCATCCTACAGAGTTGTTTGTCTTCTGAAGATCAAAATCTAAACTGTCACTACCTTGAATTTCAGTGTATCTAACCAAAAAGACTTGGAGCCTGATAGATCTATTTCCCTAGATCAGTTGGTCTCCATGTATAATGGTATAGTCTGGAAAAAGTAGAGACAATATAGTGGATTCTGGCTCACATCCTGGGGCTTTTAAGGTTGCCATGGGACCTTCTACAAAGTAGTCTGTCCTTTAGAGTAAATTTGCATGAGTCACTGGCATGTAAATGGACATTTTATTCCACATGTTGGCAAATATGACTTGTGATTACACTACATAGATGTAGTAAGCTTAGGCATGCCTGAAACTCACTTTTTTTTTCCTGTCTTCAACAGACTAAAGAAAATGATGAACTAACGAAAATCTGTGATGACTTGATCTTGAGGATGAAAAAGATTTGATAGCTTAACTGTCTTGTAAATGTGTCTAGTCTGACTTCCTGTCTTGTGTGCTCTACTCACTCTTTTAATTATATATGTGCAGAGATAAATAAAACTCTTGACTTGCACTTGAATATTATTCTGTATCTTTTGTAGGAAATGTCAATAAACTTAAGTTCAGTTGCCACTTTGAGTAGGTAACAGTGTCTTGCGTGATGTTTTCACATGTTACTCAAATGAAAAGTTTTTAATTGTCTCCCGTTCAGTCTTTTCCCTGTGTAAGAGCAGCAAGGTTCTGTACTCATGGCCTGGCTTTGCTAGTGAGGGTTAGGATGGGTCACTGTGGCTATTTTGCACTTCCTGCTGTCTCACTTAAAACATTCCCAAGTTACAAGACTGCAGTAATAAAAAAGTAAAGAACACAACTGAAGTTCCTTTTTTTTTCTTCCCTAAAGCTAGCATTTGTGACAGGTCAAGTTTTAAGATGAGTGGGAGTGATTCTGGTTTTGCAGACAAGCCAAGCAGAGCACTGAATAGCAGGACAGATTACCTGCTAATCTATCTCCATTATTTTTATTATGTCACTAGTCTGATGTTATTGACTTTCTAGTCACCGGGTGAGAAAACCCTGCCACTTGCCTGTAATGGAAAGCCTTGAGAGACAGAGGCTACAGGTCAAGGGGTTATGATGAAGTCAGCTTTAATGAGAGCACCAGCAGACATCTTGGACAAGTTATTTTTATCTAACAGACATTAACAGGATTCTCTCAGTGGAACTACAGCTTTCTATTTCTAATATTACTAGGAGGTCATTCCTCCACTTGCCTGACGAGTAGCTGTGTCTTTCAGAGGGGGTGTTGCTGCTGGGTGTGCTCTTAGCTGTACTTGGAACCCTTCCCTCACAGGTAAGGGTAGTCTGCCAGGGCAGGTGGAGAGAGGAGCAGCAGCACTTGAGGGGTCTGGAGTCTGGTCCCTGGTAAGGTAGCTACTGCTCAGTATTGTGATGTGTATCAGCAGAACGGGTCTACAGTTAATTAACATGCTTCAGGTTCATGGTATGTGGGATTTTCTGTGTGATGTCTACACTGAATGCCTGGCTCCTGCAGAAGTTGCACTGCTGTTAAGTTTTCTTGAAACTTATAGCTTAGGGAAGTTCTGGATGGCAGCAGAGAAAAAAGTAGCCACAGAACATTGTTCAAAACCAGAGTTTACTCCCTACTATGCATAGCAGGGATTACTCCAGACCGTGTCTTGAGATGTTCCTTTGTATATAGACCTAACCATACAGCTGAGGAATCTTGCATTTAAGTCTAATTTGTGAACTGTCTTGCCCATGTGTGTTTAATTATGGGAACTGATTTCTATTAAAGTTCTCAAAGAGCACTGAGGGTGCAGGCTGATGTTAGCATATGGCTGCAAAGCTTAGACCTGCTCTGTCCTCCCTGGTGTCAGATCATCTCGGTGGTGTGATGAGCTGGACAAACTGGGGACAGGGTCTCGACTGGATGAAAGTGCTGTTTTGCAGTGGATCAGTGTGCTGTGCGGGTTCACTTTTGTACGTTTTACATGAAAAGGGCGGAGCATTTGAGCAGAATCCCTGGCTACGTTAATGCAAAGCTGAACTTGCGTTATTAACGTAATAAATTAGCGTTATTAGAAATAAGGCTGCAATGCTCAGTCTCTCCACAAGGTGTAGCTGCTGCTCTTTGAGAGACCGGCTGCGCTAGACTGGGCGGTGCTTCAGGGTGTTGCAGGGGTGGAGTGTCCTCTCCAGCAGGAACCCATGAAAACAATTGTCTCATTAGCATTAAGCACAACTAGAGAAGAGAGGGGCAAAGAGCTGTGATGTATGCCAACAGACTGCAATGAACTAGTGGCAGTGCTGCCTGGAGTTTTTGTGGTACCAAAGTGTACTCTGTACAGTGTGTGTGTGTGCCTTTAGACAACCGCTGCATAAAGGAGCGCTGGGATCTTCCCTACCCTCCTTCCTTCTTTCAGGGTGTTTCTTTCTATTGTTTATGCAGAATATCTCTAGTCCAGTAGTTTGCTGGGTGAAGGGAAGAGAGCTGCTATGTGGGGAAGGGAGGGGAGACTTTCAACCTATTTTGTGTGTTGCTTGAATATAGCAGCCTTTACAGACACGCAGACCCTGGTCTGCTGATAGTTGTGGATACAAAAGTCCAGTAGAAACCAGCATACCAGATACAGGTGCTATGGTAGTGTTGGTGACACGCAGACCCTGGTCTGCTGATAGTTGTGGATACAAAAGTCCAGTAGAAACCAGCATACCAGATAGAGGTGCTATGGTAGTAGCCTGACATCGTGTCTCATATCGCACATTCTCAAGAATTACTCCTCCTGTGGCCCGTTACTGCCTGTTGGTATTAGATAGTGGGAATTGTGCTTCGGTGTAACGGGGAAGGACAGCACACTCCACGTCTGCTGTAATCTGTGACCACGACCTGGGAAATCTGCTTGGGGCTCTTCTGTTTGCTGGTTGTGTCAGTACTTACAGGAAAACTGACAGTATGTGAAAACCAATGCTTGAATGGAGGTTGCTATGAATGCTTGGGCAGTGCAGGGGGTGACTGAGCAGTTTTTGAGTCCCCAGGGCTTAACTTCACGGCATCCCCTGGCTTTCAGCTCCCATAACTGTATTTCACTTGCCAAAGGCTGGGGAGCTGGGGGTCTCTGCATCTTTAAACTGCTCAGAAGGGATGGCTTATTTTTCTCCACAGGTGCAATATGTATCTCCAATTTAACGCTCACACCATCTGTAAGAATTTAGTATTTTGTAATTCCTAGCTGAAAAGTATCTTTTAAATGTTACCTTCCTTATTTTAAAGAATCTTTCTTGTTATTATCCTTCCAATGCTGCACAGTCCCCATTCACCTTTACAGCGCACAATATAGATGGCCAGATGCACATTCATGAACTTGTATGAGCTGTTGTATGCAAAATACACGTGTGTTTCAGGGGGGATTAGGTAGTGTACCCTTACTGAGATAACAAACCAGCCAGCTTGATTCTTATCTTATTGCCACTTACTGAGCCTCATCTGATGTGAGCTGGCCTCTCTGCAAGCAGATAATAGGAGGGAAAATTGATACTGCTTGGTGCCTTTGCTCGCTTGGTTTTATTTATTATTTATATGAACAACTGCTAAGTGCTGTACAAACAGAAGATGACAGCTCTTGCTCCAGACAGCCTGTTCCTAGTTCAAATAGATGGGAGGATGTATTTTATTTCAGAGCCTATGGGGGTGGATCAAAGGTACTGACTCTGCTTGGGTGATCCAACCTCATCGGTGTGTTTAGATCAAGAGTTTCCACAGGTTTGTGCTTTTAACACCTTTTCATGGCATTTCTTGGGATCTCCAGAAAGTCTTAAGGATACACATCTACTTATATGGCCTTGCCTACGTGGTCCAAAGTCACTTTCTTTCCAGCCATTTCCACTCCTGTTCCACCAAAACTGGTGGATAACATTCATCATGATCCAAGCACAGGTTTTAGTCTCTTGTGTAGTTAAGGACTTTGGTTCAGAAGTCGCGGTTTAAACCCTGCTGGATTCAGCGAGTGTCTCCAGATTGATCCTGGAGTCAGTGGGTTGGATTCTGGCCAACTTTCTAGTCCTTTTGCACTACTGACAGCAGAAAGTCATTAAAGAAATGTCATAGTTTGACGTGAGGGAATTTCAACAGAATCCTCTCACTGTGAAACTGGAAGTAGGGAAGGGCTGAAGCAAACTCTGACTTAGCTGGACATCTAAACATACAGCTTGGCTGCTAAGGTTACAATTTATACCTCTATAGCAGGTATAACTCATATTTTTCCCCTCTCTGTTGTGAGAATTTAAATTGTGCAGAAAAAAAAACCAGAGACATAATGGACCATCTCTTAGTTTTCCTCAGTTTGGAGGATGGATTTATTACCCGAACCAGCAAACAACAGAGCATTTTAAAGCAGAAAGGGCAAATTAATACTATTTTTCCACTGGAAGACAAATTTATAAAGCATTTAGCTTCAGCATGCTGTCTTTGGCTGCATGAGGGGCTCTCTGACTTTTCAGAAGTCATTAGATGATGACATGACTAATCTTTTCATGGTTTTGAAAGACCCATGTGGTTTTGACTTTGTCAAATGGATCAGTCACAGCATCTACTTTCTTACATATTTCTTTTCCTTTCCAGTATGGCTAACGCAGACAAACTAAATCCTCTGCAGCAGTGAAGGGGAAGGAAGTTCCATATGAGTTTTGTCCTATTTTTAATGATAGTGCCAGTAAAATTAACAGCAGTTTACATCAGATATTTTCTTTTCAGCGCTTGCTGCTAGGTTTTTGCTCGTGATGTCTTGCTGTTTGAAAGTCTCTAGCAGTTTGCCGATTCAGAACCTGTGTCAGACCTCATTTTTCTCTCTTTTGGGAGAGTTTCCTAGTGGTGAAGTTCTGCTGTCCTTAGGAGGGTTAGCGTGTAACTTTATCCAGCTATAAGGAGTCTCTCCTGGCTCTTGGTGTGCGAGAGGAGGGTCCCTTGGCTAGTGTCACCTGTCAGAGCACTACAAGAACTGATGGAGCTGGGGACCAGCTTGCCTGATGACATTTGTATGATAGGTCTCAGTGGCCCAGAAGCAGCTGTGACCGTTTAATGGGGCTAACAGGTGTTATGAGTTGCAGCAGAGCACCAAGTGTGCTCACATGTGTTGTATGGCTTGTTAGGCTTGAGGAAAGAGTCACAGGGGACACAAACATGTGGTTAATCTTCCTCCCTGCATCTCTTTAAATCCAGGTAGACTTGCAGTGCAAGTCTGGGGGGAAGATCTTCAGTCCCTTCCAATACTCATTTCTCTGTTGACTGAGTCTGAAACTTGGTGTCTAGCCATTTCGTATAATGCCAGGGTCAACTTCAGACTCTTCTGGAGGAAATGTGGTGGGATGATATGGAGCTATCTAATGAATCATTTAAATTTTTTCTTCTCTTTCTGAGAAGAGAAAGAAAGAGAAGAGAGCTTGCTGAGCAATATTATACCCTGGAGCCTGGTTCACTACTTTACTTTTTGCTTTTTCATTTCTTTTAATGTCTTGAAACTAGGATTGCTTTCTATTGTCTGATTTAACTTGATCCTCAAAGAAACAATTTCCCTGCAGTGCCATGTAATATTTTTTTTTTCCAAAAATGAGCCTAGTGCAAGTAAGT